GCCCTCAATAAGAGTTGGCTGTGGATACTGGGGCGGAGGGAGAGGAACAGAGAGCAGAAAGCACGTGGGGACACTGCAAGTGGTGTTTGCAGGGAGATGTGTGTCGGAGAAGGGGATGTGTCAGGGAAGGGGACAGGGGCTGAGCTGCAGGAGCGTTGCTGAGCCTTTCCCACGCCGCGGTGCTGGGGGAAGGGACATGGCGACGTGCCCTTGGGCTCGCTTCCTCCACGGCCTGCAGCTGTTAGGGGAAGAGATGTCGGCGTGGGGAGGGGACAGCAGTGGGAAACCTGTTGCTGGAAAGCCCAGAGAGGTTTTTTTTGTCCCTCAGTGTCACCAAACGTCCCCAGCAGAGCTGTGAAAGCTGCTCCGTCCACAGGAGCGAGTGGTGGCGAAGTTGAAAATGGTCCTTGTGGCCTTAACCCTCCTGTTGCTGCTGGAGACTCAAAATGAACTTCAAGAGGAAATTCCCAAAACGCAGAGCTAGGAACAGCTTCCAGGTTGCATGTGCCCCATGGCAGAAGCAGTGAGGTGCAGGACTGTGCTGCTGTGGGCTGGGTGGCAGCGTGCCTGCCAGAGGGCACGGAGGGATGGAGCTACCAGCTGTGGGAGCAATGAGCATCTCCCCATGTTTGGTACCTGCAGGTCTCGTGTAAGAGACAAATACTTGATGAATGGTCGCCCAGGCTGAGTAGGGTGGAGGAGGTGTATCTGTATCTCTCTGAGGCAGAGGAAATTGCAGAGGGGTTACTGCTGTGAACCTTTCTGGGGCGTTAAGGAAAGATGGGGCGTTGAGGAGCTGTGAAGGTGAGCTGGGATTATTGCTAGAAGGCATGGAGTAGCAGTGTTCTGCTCAAACACAACTGGTTTCCCTTCCAGCTGACCCATGTGCTCTGCTGGGCTCCTGCCTTTGCTGTTCGGGGTGCCCGCCAGAGCAGGCAGACCCTGCGCTCAGCATCTTGGGCAGCTCCGTGGCATGGAGACTAAAAATGAACTTGAAGATGAAAATTCCAAAACGCAAAGCTAGGAACAGCCTCCAGGTTGGATGTGCCCCATGGCAGAAGCAGTGAGGTGCACTGCTTGATTTTTAGCAATTGGGATGCTGCGAAGCTTGTGGGAAAGCTCCGTGAATACAAGGAGTCATGGGCATCAGGGGTGGTTCTGCTGTGGGTAACAGGGAGCCCTGGCAGCGCTCCGGGACAGTTCTGGGCTCTGCCAGTGGGAACGGCATAGCGGTCAGCCTGCTAGTGGTGGGCAGTGGCACGGTTAGGGGTCACATTTGTACTGCCTCATCACTTGGGGTTTTTTGTGGGCAAGAAATATGGGAAGTGGGAAATGTTTTTTTTCTCAGGCACTGCTGGTTATTTCCAAATCAGCTGGACCTTGCTCCATGGGGGAGCTCATCTTGGTGGGACGTGCCTCATTGTCTAAGGCAAGCCTGTCTTTGGGCACCGTCTTTTTAGTGGCAAAACACTAAATCTGTGCACCAGCACAGGCAGCAGTGCAGACCTGTGTTCCCTGGGCTCCTCACTGGCCCCAGCTGGCTGGGACCCAGGTGGCCATGGCATCAGCAGCAGGAGGAGACCTGCAAAGCTGAAGACCACTTTGCGACGTTGCCACAGTCCCCTGTGGAGACCCGTGTGCCAGCGTCAGGCTGACCAGTCTCCAAGGCACAAAGCTTCCACGGCCAAGTCGATGCCAGGCTGCGATGGGTAACCTGGTACACCAGGTCTGGTTATTATGTGGCCCATGGTTTACAGCAGAATTGGGCACCTGCATCTGGGACACGAGTGGGTTTGCAAGTTCATCCTCTGTACCCTGCTGCATCCATCTGCATCCGTGGTGGAACCAGGCTCTTGCGTGGAGCAAAGGTGCCACAGGTAGGACTGGGTGCTGCCTTAGTGGGTGTGCTCCACGCGTCGTGGTGGGTTGCAAAGGTGTGTTGAGAACTGGTGTGTCCACAGCAGAGGTAGAGAGGAAAAAAACAGACAAGTTCAAGAGGCGTTTTTGCAGTTGCAGACGCTGGGTTTTTCTTTCTGCAAAAGGCAACAGGATGCTGCTGGGCAACGCAGCCACAGAGCAGGGCCAGGAGGGCCTGAGGGTTTGCGTGAGGACAGCCGGGCAGTTGGGCTGTGGTGTGGCCAGCTTTGTGTGGCACAGGGAGGGAGGGTTTTTTGGGCAGCAGAGACCCTTCCCAGCATTGCACTTAATACAGGGAGAGCCCAAAGTCACGCTGTCTTCATGGAGCGCCGTCCTGAAGGCAGTTGATTCGGTAAAGTGAACTCCGTGGTGCTCACAAGCTGCTTCTCACTTGAGAGCTGCCCCCCTGCTGCCAAGAACCAAGTTGTTGCTTTTCCCCAAAGCAACAGCCACCACCAAAGGGGCTCCCCTCTGGTGCACCTGGGGCTGCAGAGCTCTGGGAGCCGGGATGGGCGACGCCTGGTGTTGTGGCAGCGCAGCCCTGGCTCTTGCCCTGTCGCTTTTGAGGAGGACAAGTCTTATCCTCTCGCCAAGCGACTCGCTGCAGCACGTCTGGTAGAGAAAAACTGCTCCACCAGCACCTCGGTCTCTCTCCTTCAGCCCAACTTTCCCCTTACCTGTTCCAGCCAGACCCCTGCCCGCTGGCACAAGCCAACACCTTCCTTGTCCCAACCCTGTGCCAACCCCTCTCCTTGTGTGCCTCTGCAAATGGCTTTGGGCCCTGGAGACGTTCAAGGCCAGGTTGGACGAGGCCCTGAGCAACCTGATCTAGTTGGAGATGTCCCTGTTCCTTGCAGGGGGGTTGGACTAGATGACCTTTGAAGGTCCCTTCCAGCCCTAACCATCCTATGATTCTATCCTCACGCGGGGCTGCGTGCTGATGCTGCCCAACGGAAGGAAGGAGTGAAGCCCAAGGAAGGTGAGGCTTAGGTTTAGTGCCTTGGGATGACAACGCCGTGGCACGTCTGTCCCCGTCTTCTCTTCCTCCCCCGGATATTGTCTCATGCCATTAGAAGTCAACTAAATTAAGCTGTAGACCCTCAAAACTGTGTATCATTGGGAGAGTTGGAAGAGCCTTGGCTCACTCTTAGGAGCGCGTACGCAGCCGGAGCTCTTCGCAACTGCTCCCTCCAGGATACGCTGGATTATTGGAACTGCTGCTCGCACGCAGCGGGCACAGGCACGCACCAAGACTCCCTTCTGTGCAGAACCCGCCAGTGCCTGGCGTGGCACTCATGGGGTGTGAAAACTACCTGGCTCTCATCTTTCCCGTGCTAATGTCGTTGTATCTGGGGTTGGAACCAGGGCAGTTATTTTGTTTGGAGCTGTTGGGCTGCCTAATTGAACCTGCACAGATGTGAGCGCTGCAGCGGGTTCAAGGAGCGAGCACCAGCATCGCTGAGCCCCGCAGCGACGGGGTTTTGCGACGGGTGTGCGGAGCGATGCCCCGAGACTGCGCTGCAGCCTGGTGGGGGGAGACTCAGCAGAGGGACTGGTGGTACCGTGAGGATGACGGAAAGGGAAGGAGGGTGCTTGCCCTTCTGAGAAATGCGGCCTTGGGAAGTGGTTTCCAGGAAAAGGGCTGAAAGCCAGAAGTTTGTCACGGTGCACTGGGCACAGCAAAAAGGGTGGCATCTCGGAAGATGTGAGGCAGGAGGGGGTGGCTGCTCCCCAGGTGCAGGAAATGCAAGGCAGCTGGGAAGAAGGCGAGATGACAGAATCTGCCATCTGTGAGCTTCGGGGAAAAAAGCAGAAATTAAGTCTGTACCAACCTTTCCATCATCAGGTGTGGTTTTGAGTGGAAGGGACATCAGGCAGGCAGGAACCTACAGCCAGCCTGGGTGGGGGAACCTTGACTTTTCACCGCGGCGTTCGGAGTATCAAAAGGGAGCTGGTGACAAGACAGGTGAGATGCAGCCGTGTCCCAGCCCTGCACTGAGTGGTCCATCCTCAGCCTGGAAGGGGAACAGCCTGGTGCTGGGGGGAGGGAGCAAGGAGCACCTGGAGCTGGGGCCAAAGCTGGAATCGCCCTAGAGACATTGAGTTTCTGTTGTGTGTAACTCCCCTGGCCACCCCTAAAGCCATGTCCTCACAAGTCTGGCACGGAGCAGCTCCCTTCCTGCCTCCTGATCCTTGACCCAGGTGAAAAGCAGGAAACAAGACCAGGAATCCAGGACAACTTTCTTTATTGCTACCAGAAGGCTTTCATCAGTACAATGGCTCCAAGTACGATACCTTCCTCAGGGCTGTGGAGAGAGCTTACAATTGGGACAGGTCATTCTGAGAAACAGAGGGGTAACATTGAAGAGACAAGTTTTGAAAGGTTTTGCTCTTGGTTAGAAGTGACATGAAGACAAAACTTAAGGGTTTGGGGTCTTTTGGTTTGGTTTCGTGGCTGGTAATGACGCACCTTTCAAACCTCAGGCGTGCGCAGCCGCCCCAGCAGCTCAGCCAGCAGCGCTGCTCGCATGCTGAGCATCTTAACTGGTGGGGAAATAACAGACTGTGCAGAATGGAAGGTGCCCACCTGAGACAGAGTCAGACGTTGGGGAAAGTCCACGCTGAGTGCAATGTTTCTTGGTGCAAACAAACAAAAAAAACCCACCGTTTTTTAAGTGATGCAAAACACGTTAACTGCTGTCTGTGTTGGAAAACACCAACTGTTTGAAGTCTCCGTGTGCGGCAGAGAGCACAGTGGCCCCTGCCTCGTGTTCTTCTAGAGTATGTTCATGCTCCTGTGATGACTACTTAAGTTTGGAGCAGTTTGCAAAGCAGTTTTGGTTTTTTTTTTTCCTGACTAACCTTTTATTTAAATCCAGTTCTTAAATATTCTCACATTTAAACACCAAAGTGCTAACGAAACAAAAAAAGATCTTTTTCTTTAGAGAGGAAAAAGGAAGCTGGGGTGAAGGTCAGGTAGGACAGAACATCATGCACGAGACTTGCTGAGAATTAAAAGAAGAGTAAGCAGAAGGAGAGCAAGGAGCAGATGGAAATGGGATCAGAGAGGCAGTTAGTTGGCTGGGAAACCTGGAACAACTCTGCACAACTGGTGCAAGCTTCTCGGATGTGGAGAATGGGTTACAATACACAGGAGCAGAAAAACAGTGGAGCTGACAACACTAGAAAGAAACAATTTTTTTGCTACTTTTTTTTGTTTGGTTTTTGGGTCTTTTTTTTTTAGATTTTTATACTTTTTTTGTGTGTTTTTAAGTGCTTAAGTAGTGGAACTATAATTAGCCGCACAAGAAAAAAATTCAAAAAAGGGTTGGGATTTTTTTTTTTCTGTTTTTTTTTTTGACTCCCTTCAGTTCAGCCTGACAAGGTATGGCCCCTTCTCCCCCCACTGAAACCCGGGATGGTGGGTCCTGCACGGTTTCTGGAGTAGCTGCGGTGGAGCAGGTGGTGTTCGCTCACAGCTACATGACAGACACCGGCTGTAGAGGTGGACAAGGGGAAACGTTGCCCTCTTGCCTCGAGACATCAGCGCCGCAAACAGAGCCCATGTTTTCCAGAGCCACCACCTCTGGAGCAATGTCTTCGTTGTAGAGACGCTTGATACCATCGTAGAAGTCGTCCACTTCCATCTCTTCCACTTTGCGCTTGGCAGAGGCTTGCTTGCAACCGCTGGCAGCTGGCAGACGCTGGTAGAGCGCGGCTGTACCTGTGACGGGCACTTCTGGCCTGCCGTTGTCCTTGGAGAAACCTGGCCCTGGGACAGAGGAGGGCTGGCATTGGAACGCTCCTCTGTTACAGGTCACCAGGGTATGCTGGAGGGGACTGTAGACATATACAGAATTGGGCAGCAGAGAAGGCTGCAGAGTGGAAAGGTGATGCGCCACAAGCTCCCGGCAGTGGATCAGCTGCGAGCTATCCATCTGGAGTGGGAAAACAAGGAATTATCAGTGTTGAGGGGTTGCTGCCATGGAGAGGAGAGGCTGTCAACCTGGGCAGGGCCAGGGCTCCGAACCGTGCCCCGCACTTCACGATGATATGCTGGATGCCGGAGAAACTAGGGATAAAAGGACCAAAAAAAAACCCCAACCAACCCAACACGATGACTTGATAAGATATGGACCTCTGCTCTTTGTCACACTGCATGGGAGTAGTGAGGAGAAAAAACCTTTCCAATATGAAAAGGTCTCGCTGCATCTTTTAATGGCTCGAGTGTTTGTTTTTCCAGTACTTTTTACATCACCCAGTACACTTGGAATGAACGGCTGAGCAGCTAACTGGGATTTTCTCCCCAGTGTGTTATTTGCTCTCTGGTGCAGAGAGAGCCCGTGTACATCAGGGCACGTAACTCCTCCCTTTTGTCACCTACTGGATGCTGTCAAGATGGAGACTTTGCACAACTGGCCCAACAAGCCATCCCTTCAGGCTGAAGCACAACCATCCTCGCCAAAGCGTAACTGCAGGCAGAGATGAGCAGGTAGGGATCCCAAAGCCCCGGCCGGCTCGGATCACCGGATCCAAGCTGAGGGAGATGCAGCCTTCTGTGGCCCCCCGGTCCCTCCCTGCTGCGACTGCCGTGCCAGCACCCCCCTCACCTGTGCCTTCTGGAGCAGCTCGATGATGAGAGCCAGCCAGTCGGGGAGCAGCTTCTCCAGCTCCAGGCTGACGATGGCCAGCGCCAGCATGGAGCCCTTGAACTGCAGCAGCTGGTAACAGGCCATGCAGTGCAGCAGCTGCTTGGTGAGCGCCGCCACGTGCTGAGAGGGGCTCAGCTTGGGCAGGATGGTCAGTAGCTGAGGCCTGTTGGACACGGCAACTGCGTGGAACTGGGAGGGGAAACAAGCACATGAGGCAGCTGGTGTCACTGACGGGCAACCTCACAGGCAAAGCCAGGTCAGACCTCAAGAATGGCATGCGACACGTCTTCGATGCACGAGGATTCTCCAGCTTAACCTTCCAGGCAATTTCCACGCCACAGAAGGAGACCACTGCGTCGAACCCACCGGCACCGTGGTGCAGCCGTGCTGGCAGGGCCTGCCATCACTCACACCGTCTGCCTGCGGACCAGGCTTCTCATGCCTCTGCAATCCCCTTCCACCCTGTGCTCCCAGCACCACAAGTTTGGCAGTTGAGGTGCCCTAGACAAGAATTCCTTCTTGAGCAAGCAGAGAGGATGAAATCCAACAGAGAACCCTCAGGGCACTTTTTCCTTCCCTTTGTCTTATCCCATAATCTGGTTCCCTGGCCGTGCCTTTCTGCCTGGCCTTCAGCTTTGAGCAAAAACCACTGGCAGTTACGATTTAGGGGCAAGGTTTTCAGGAGCCGTGAGTCTTAGTGTGTGGTTTAACGTGCCTTAAGGCAGGTCAGATGGCAGGCCCACGTTTTGGAAATTGCACCCAAAGCGTCACAGGTCTCTGAAATTCTCTGGAAAGGCTTTTTCTTACAGAAACTACCTGTACAGAGGAATTACGAACGCATCTTGAGGTCTTCGCTCCCCCACAGGTAGTTTGTTTTGTCTAAGTAACTTATTTACACTGACAGACACCAGAAAGAATGTAAATAGCCCGTTACTTACAATATGGAGGAAATCCAGTGGCGTTGCCATGTGAAGATCCCAGTTCAGTTTATCCAGGATAATCTTCTCCATTCTGCGAATTTCAGCTGGAGAACAACCACAAAAGCTATCCCGAGCCAACACCTTGAGTACTGGAATCCTCTGTCAAAACCACCGCGAAAAAGAAATGAGAGAACCAGTCATTGTAGAAATCCCACAAAATGCTTCATTCCTGTCCTGGCAAGCGTCGGCCACCACGTGCAGGCAACGGCAGGACTGGAAGAGTAGATATTCAGATGATGCTAAGGGAGTAAGAACCAAAGAATTACCTCATCTTCCTCAATGGTCTTTGCAGCAAGGAAGAAGCAGCTGATTGCAATACAGTTCAAGTACTTTGGACGGGCCTAGGGTAGAGAAAAGTCTCCGTGTGAGTGTGATGCAAAAATTCCACAGAATTATTTCTGGTCACACATCCTGAGCTGCAGGGTCTCCGCTGCCCATGCAACTCCCTCCAACCACACCACAGCGGTGGCGAGCGGTGCCAAGCCAAAATCCCTACTCCGTGGCGTAAGGCAGAGCAGGGATCTGCCAGCCCCAGGATGGTAACTGGCACCAGCTGCTGAGCAGCACTGGAGTGGAAAGGGCTTGTGTTCAGGCAGCGCGGTAAAAATAGGAAAGAGAAAACCAGAAGGGCCAGATTGTCCCTTGGCAAAAAACCCAGTGCCACTCCACCTGCTTCAGCGGAGCTCTGTGGTTAGTGCTGCCTGGGGACACCCACGGAATGGGAAGGAGGAGCAGAGAACTTGACAACGCTGTCCTTGTCTAGGGAAGTCTGAGACACCCATAAAAAAATCACCACTCACGTCGTTTCCCACTGCAGTTCTCAAAACTGTGGCCCAGGGGTTATCGAGGGAGAGCTGGGCCTTCTAAGTAAGTGCAATTTAGAGGGGAAAGGGTGATTTTTTTTTTTTAAATTTATTTTTTCATGTGTATCAGAAACTCTTTTATGGTCCTCAGCTGGTGGGGGGAGGGGGGAGGCAGCCTGCGTGGGCTGTAAGTATTCCGATAGTCCCAGTAAGGGACCAGTCTAAGCCCACACTCAGAATGTGGCATGTCTTCTGGAGTTTTTGCTTCATCTTTGTCCATAGAACCATCTGACAAAGGGCTTCGCTTCCACCATCGGTGTAAAAACCCCAGGATGTGTCCACCTGCCTCCTTAGTGGCTGGGGACTAGGAAACGTGGAGGCACTGCTGCTAAACGGTGTCGCAGCCCAGTAAGCAGACAGCTGTGGAGCTGTGCCCCCACCTCTAGCAGCCTCCTGGCAACTGGTCTTCTCCTGTCCACATCAGGAGAAGCTGAAAGCCAAGGTAAGTGAAAATCCTGCGCGGAATGTGAAAACCTACTTAGAACCTGCACGGTTGCCATGATTTATTCTTGCCCGGTACGTTTTAGCTGATCCATCAGAGTCATGGGGCGATCCAAGGGTGAGATGCTGCACGTTAACACTCATGCAGTGAGCTGTCAAGAAATCCAGAACACTGTTCTCGGGAGGACCAGAGTGAAGAAAACAGGATCGTGTCCAAATTTAAGATTTTTACCTATGTTCAGTCTCAGTTGCTTGGAAAAGATCGTGCTATGCGTAGGGCTTTGGAGTTCTAGTGCCACTGAAATTTCCACTTAAATAAGTGTGGAGAATCCACCCTTGGGGATGGGGGTGTGCGTGCACACGTCTGCTTGGGCATTCAGGTGTCACTGCAAGCGAGGAGAATCAATTCCCTCAGGGCAAGACTGCAACTTGTTCTTGACTATACAGGCAGGTTCAGAGAAAACTGTCAGGTTGCAACAAAGAAAAGGACATTAAAGGACACATTCTGTGTTGTATTCAGAGAAAAGCAGGTGTCTGGAGCAGGGTCCTACCATCAGGGAAGCTTCTTCTCCCCACTGTTTTTAATAAGAAAAATTTTGTCTCCTCTTTTGCCCACGTCCATCCCCTGTAGAGACTGACCTGGTGGAAAGAACAAGTGTATCTTTTGCCAAAGCATTTGAAAACCCAGTCACCTCTCCTGGTCCCTTACAGGAGCTTCTCCCTGCTGGCATCTCACACGTGGGCGAGCGCGGCAGAGCTGGGGGCCGTAAGCACCGCTCTGCTGAGGGGTAACGAGCGCCGTGCGACGAGTTCGAGCAGACCACGACTGGGAACAGCCTTAGGGGCTGCCAGTCCAGGCAATTTCAGAGCATGTTCACGGGGAAGGGAAGGGACTGGTTGTCTTAATAATAAAATCCAACACGGTAGTGCCTGGCTAAAAAAAAACAGGAGTTAAGCTGCATCAGAGGAATGATGGCAAACTGGGGGAGGGAGCACCAAGCCCTGAGCTGTTGGAACAATGTTCATGCAGACAAAAGACCTTTCCCCGTTCCTGCTCGCTGCCCTGAGCAGGCAGTGGACTCCTACTCAGATTGTCATCCTTGCTTTGCAGGCTCCTTGCTGCTGCAAATTACTGAAAGAAAAACTGTCCTCCAGGGCATTAGCTGTAGAGGGATTTAAATCGATTTCCCATCTCAGTATTTCATTATATCGGCTACTTTAAGATCTCCTGAAAAATAACAACTTCCATGGCTTGTCATGAAAACATTAACAGTATTTATTAATGCTTCAAGGGTAGGTTAATGGATGGTGTCACTTGCATTCTGCCAAACCCAGTCCCACTAAACGGTAAGTGCCAAGGCTGAGGACCTGTTCCTCCGCTTGGCTCTCCGGGAGTTGTATTGCCGTGACGGCGCTGGCGATCCGGTGAGATGGCAGGTTTGCTGGGCACGGAATGTACCCGAGCCAACAAGGTGGGAGACCAGGCTGCCCACAGCCTGACTCCATGGCTCAACGCCAGGGCTTTGGCGTTGGCCCACGTTGCGCGGGGGAAAACCACGCCTGGCTTGCTGCCACGGCAGACTTAGGGGACAGAAGAGCAGCAGATCCCAGCTGTGTGTAGCCACGTGCTGATTTTTGTCTGGTTTTCTGTGGTTTCTGTGGTCTAACAGCCCTACAACCCAACGGGCACGTATAGTCTTTGCGGGAGCGGCCAGCGTGTCGCTTGGATGGCCTGAGCCCACGCTCACCTCCCGCTCTCTCCTTCACCCCCCTCTGACTTGACATCAGTCTCAAGCTCTTCGTCTGTCAGCGAGGCTACAGACCAGGTTAATAGTGAACTGCTTCCCCCAAAAGCTTTAGTCATTTTTAAAACTGTGCTTTTTTTTTCATTTCCCTGCGCTCGTGCACTTGCCGGGCTCAAACCTGTCCTCAGCATTGATTTGTTTCCTCCAGCTAGTTCACTGCTAGCAGGTGCTCCCAGCAACTGGAGGTGGTACCAGTAAGCTGAAATGCAGTTAAAACACCAGAGACATGAGGACGTGAGCAGGGACTTGCTCTCACTTGTCTATCAGAGGATACTGGGCTTAGGTTTCTAACTGGGGGCTAGCAGGCACTTCCTTTGGCTTTAGGAGTCAATTAAGGTTAAGGCAGAGACTTTTCTCTTTTTATCTAAGGCATAACCCCTGTGCAGCCTCTTTTTCTGGTTGCTTAAGGGAACAGGTACTATGCTGAGGCAAGTTCATCATTCAATCCACATCAAGAGCAAGTGTGGAGTTGAAGAGCACTTCTTTGCTCTAAGGGAAATACACATTTAAACTAATGAGCTGCAGTACGTGAAGGAAATGGGCAAAACAGGGGAAAGAAGGAAAATATTCTTGGCAGGTAAAAGCAACGGGTCAGTTCCCCCAGAGCTCTGTGTTCTCATTAAAGCAGTGGCTACTTGGGCCAGCCAAAAAACGACCTTGGAAAGAATCTGCCTCTTAAAGTTGCTGGTGGCAGCACGTGCTGCCAGTTCCACAACTTGGAATGAAGCTCCTAGAGTAGTGCAGGTCCCGTTCTGTATGTGTGTGAGAAGGGAAGAGGGTGGGAGAGCAGAGGGAGGAAGTAAGAGTTTCCGCACGGCCACAGCGCTCGGACTGCACACAGAAATAGCTGAGTGGGTGGCAAAAATCTATTTCAGTTGATGTCTCTGCAAATATTTACCTTAACTGCGGCTAAAAACCTGTCCAAAAGGCTGATGGCCAGGGCGAGCGTTTCTGGATAAAGGTGGAACTGGTATTTGAGCTTGGCCAGCCACTGGATGACCTCATCCCTCTGCTTTGGAGAAATGGCTACATCCTGTTGGAGAGAAAAACAAACTATTCTTACACCCAGGCTGAGCAAGTCAGAAAAGACCAAATGTTTTACCTCTGCGGAGTTATTCACCGTGAAAACAAAACCTCCTCTGGAAAGTGAGGGCCTTGAGCCTGAATCACCACTTTATTCTTGCCATTACTTACCCCAGCCCAAGGAATCTGCCCTGGGAAAGACAACTTGCCTTATAGCAACCCCAGGCATCACTCAGAAATTTCCCTGTGCGTTGGGGAGAAGAGAGAGGATGTCTCAGTTTCTCAAGTACTGGTAGGGATTGCTCCAGCTTAGCTCTAAGAGATTTTTTATTTTTTTTTAACCTGCTTGGAACCTTGCAGATAGATGGAAATGCTCAGCTTGAACAAAACCAGACACGCTACAGGAGCCAGGTGGACGCACAGCTCCTGACAGACAGAAGAGGAGAGGGACCGAGCTGGTGTTGGAAGAGGAAAGGTTTATTTTTCCTTGCAATGACTGGGGATATTTTTAGTTCAGTGTATGTTAAAAAAAGAAAATTCCAAGCAGCTTACAAAAGACCTTTAGCAGTACAGTTCACTGTGAGCTGGGGTTAAGAAGGTACGATTTCACCTGAAAAAGTCTGGGTTCTCTTGGTTTGTTGGGCTTTTTTTTAAACTTTTTGGCCCATGTCACCACCATCGAGCTGTTTGGACAATAGCTGAATTTCAGCCATACCTACAGATCACTCATTGACAAAAAATCTTCCTCTCTGGCTTACTGCAGAAATACTTACAGCTTCTCTAAAGCCTTTCCATTAAACCAGGTAAAGGGCTGGTCTCACTTCAACAGGGATTGTTTGGGGTGATGAGCAAGGATGTGTAGAGAAGTGAAATCAGACAGATTTTCTCTGCTATCCTCAGAGTCCTTGTGGTCTTTTGGCTACTGTTGAGATGGTTTAAGAGAAAGAAATGGAATGAAACACTGCCTGAGCAGTTACTGTGGAAAGGAAACCTAAGGGCTTGCACAGACAGCCCTCACTGCTGGGCTGGGTTGCAGCTGTCCTCCCAGCAATACCAGGAGGGGAAAGTAGCAGAATTTTTGAATATAAATACACCAAACATTGATGGAAAGTAAGTACTTTGGGCTACACCTATGGCCAAAGTACCGACCGTGGGCCTCAGAGAGATGGTAACGTGCTTTGTCGCAGGTCTCGGAGCCAAGCACATGGGTGGAAGTGGTCCTCTACAAGGACCCCAGCTTCTCATCTTTCATGGTTGCTCACCGTATGACATCTTTACTCTGTGCTTAAGTTCCTTACTTGTGCTGAGCTCCACCTTCACACTGAGTGGGACATAAGGGGTGGGAAGGTGGCAGGGTTTGAGCCCCCGGGTGCACTTCTGGGCTCGGTGACAGCAGCGGCACGGTCTGTCACTGCTGCTCACAAGCATGTGTCCTGCCAAAACCTGGGCACGCAATTCCATTAGGAAAAGTAAAACAGTAGCACTGCAACTGTAGCAGGGATCTCGTGGAAAGACACAGGGTTGTGCAATCCCAAGCTGCTGCTTCCAGCTGTGCTGGGTAAGCTAATACAGCACTGCTCCCTTTGCCTGCAAAACATGTCTGCAGCGCTCTATCAGGTGCTCCTCTGAGGAGAACAAGGTCCTGCTTGGTTTTCTTTCCTGAAGCCTCAACGGTGCAACGGCATCAGCAGGACTCTGTCTGATCCAGACAGGCCTCTGCTCTCAGCTGGGACCTCTGGATGCCTCTAGCACAGCTTTTTAAAAAGCACCTACTGTTCTTCAGGAGAGGAGAGAAAAACGAGGTTCCTCAATTCCCAGAAAGGATGATTGTTTCTAAAAATTGTTATTGCAATTTAAGGGTGATGAAGTTGCTTATCGCTTTATTCATTGTGCCTGTTGTTAAATGGAAGGAGACAAAGCCCAACAAAAGGTCTTGTAACCACAGCCAGGTCTGCACAATACTCTAAACTTATAAAGTTTCGAGCAGCTTTAAGGATTATTTTGCAAAGGTGGGACGCGGGCGAGTCCAGCAGGTAAGCTCTGTGTGTGCCTGCCAAAAGTCACCCTGAAACCACCCTGTCCAAGAAAATAAACTTGACTCTAAAAACCTGCCTCTGACTCGTAAATCATCACCCTGGTCCTGTCGCAGCAGCTTTACCGCCTGCCAAAAGTCACCCTGAAACCACCCTGTCAAAGAAAATAAACTTGACTTTAAAAACCTGCCTCTGACTCGTAAATCATGGCCCTGGTCCTGTCGCAGCAGCTTTACCGGTGAAGGCAGCAGGAAGGGGCTGGGGCCCTCGGCCGGCGAGCGAGGAGATGCACCGTCAGCGCTGCATCGACAGGTCAGTAGCCTCTGTGTCCCCTCCTGCGATGTAACATCTCCTTTAGAGGAGGGGGATGACGTGGCACCTGTTGCATTCCCTGTTGGGGGGAATTTTCCGCGTCCCCTTCCAGGCAAATCCCATTCCTACTAGGTTCCAGCAGAAACGGGCATCAGCTTCAGCAGCTCCTGTGGTGTGTGTCCTGGCTCTGCGCTGTTTTCCCTGTGCTTGCCAAAGCAAAAGGTATGGTCTTCTCCTAAAAACAGCGTGGGTGGGAAGGGGTAGGATCGTTTTTCCAGGCTGCCTTTCAGTCTTCAGCCCTCCCAAGATCCGTCCTTGTATCTTCTGACCCTTCATGGGCAGCGAGAGGCCAAAAGGCAAAATCTCCGAGTGGGGAGTTTGCCTCACATGGCCACGCCGTGGCATGGGGAATAGCAACTGGGCCATCGGGCGCTGGTAACGACTGTCCTTCCCGTGGGAAAAAGAAATGGCTTGAATCTAAACCACGAAAAATGACAGGGTGTCTAAGGAAGCTACCAAAGTAAAACAAGAAACCAGCCCTCACCCAGAGCACCATCTTCCTTTGAGAGGAAGGAACAACTGCAAAGCCAACTCCCAGCCAGGTCGGTGCCCAGCAGAAGGAAGGCTGCAAAATAACATCTGGCTCCTGAAGAACCATCTGGGGAAGCAAAGGAAGGAGGTGGATCTCCAGCTCTTTTCTGCAGTAACATAGATTCTACCAAAGGTTTGTTTGCTTCGGGTTCTAACTGTGCAAATAAAGGATCACGAGGGCAGCGGGGAGAATTCCCTCACGCAGAAAAAAGACGGATTTAAACCTCCTGTCATCAGCACTAGCAAAGTTGGTTTGAAGAGAGAGGTAGGAGGACTGAGAACTGGTCCCAGCAGGGCGAGGAGCTTCCCACCCAAACAGATCGGTCTCCGTCCCTCTCCCTGGGAGCCTTCCTGTGTCATCCCAGTAACACAAATACAAAATGCTGCGCTGTAAAATTAATTAAGCAGCGAGGTCGCTTCTTCTTAGTTGTATAAAATTAAAAACAAGAACGAGACGCTACGGTGGCTGAAAATAAAAAAGTCCCTTTGGGCTGGAAAGCAGAAGTTCCTCTTTGGTGCTTCCCCATCGCCTTCTGCTGCTCGCCCCGTCTGCGTGTGGCCGGCTGGTCCTTTTGTCGCCACCAATCCGCCGTTGCAGAAGGTGACCGCGGGGTGGAAGAGCACGCTAGCCCGGCACCATGGCTTTAATTAGGGAAAATTAACCCCAGCCCAGCAAGGGCAGGCTCTGTTTTCCCACAGCAGCAGCCGGTTGCTCCGAGACACACTTAACAACCGCCCTTGGGACTGAAGGACAATCCGTCTCCTCCGGCTGCCCCTTTTTCCCTTCTCTCTTTTTTTTTGAGGGGAAGCCAGATCAGAGCAAAGGCCTGACCTGCAGCTCTGGCTGCCCATCTCAGGACCAAAAGGAGCCTTAGAGTCACTTATAAAAACCATCCTGCATGCTCACATCTGCTCTGTCTACCTCGTGCCTGGGACCGACGGCGCCGCGTAACGCAGAGCCTAAGATCAACCGCTGCTCCCTTCCTCCCTTTCCAGCCTGCTTTGTCCTGCTTGCCAGAAACAGGAGAGGTTTCAGCAGCTCTTCTGCTGTCTCCCACCCATGGAGCACACAAACGCCTCCGTCCGGCGGGAGCGACGGACGGAACGACGGACGGAACGGCGCACGTGACGAGCCGCGCCGGTCCCGGCTCCGAACGGCACACCTGAGGAACGCAGCGGTCCCGTGGGACGTGTGAGTCCATCAAAGCTATTCCAAACCCACGGGTGAGCAGCCAGACCTGCACCTTGTATTCCAAGCAAAAGATGTGATGCTAATTTCCACCTTTTCAGAGCACGACAGGGTGGGAAACACCCCCGTTTTAGAATCATAGAATCATAGAATGGTTAGGGCTGGAAGGGACCTTCAAAGGTCATCTAGTCCAACCCCCCTGCAAGGAACAGGGATATCTCCAACTAGATCAGGTTGCTCAGGGCCTCGTCCAACCTGGCCTTGAACATCTCCAGGGATGGAGCAGCCACCACCTCTCTGGGCAACCTGTTCCAGTGTTCTACAACTCTCATGGTAAAAAATTTTTTCCTAATATCCAACCTGAATCTACCTCCCTCTATTTTAAAACCATTACCCCTTGTCCTATCCCAACAGGCCCTCCTGAACAGCCTCTCCCCATCCTTCTTGTAGGCCCCCTTGAGGTACTGTTTCGGCACGAACACAAATAAGCCACATTGCAGGGACTACGGAGCAAACAGAATGTGTTTGGGACACAAAGGGGGGAGCGGAGGGACGTCAACATCTCTCTCTTCCTTGTGTGAAGCAGACAACCCATCGACCTGCTTCTGCCACCACTTGCTTGATTCCCTAACAAGAAACATCCTGTCACTTTATGGACCAACGTGCTGTCAGCCAACAAGAAGCTTCCGTGAAGGATTCCTGGCAGGTATTTGAAATAATGGGACATGAGGCCAGTGCACATGCCAGGATGGCAGGTGCCTGCGGGGGGTAAGGGCAGCGCTGCGCTCCGCTCACCGCGTCCATCATCGCCCCGCTCCAAAGTGAGCGACCGCTGATTCTGCCCAGGGCAGGGAATACAGCGACCCGGACAGGACACACAGACCCCAGGCCTCCAGCATCCGTGAAATGGGTGGATTTAAATTAATTAAAAAAATTAATTAAAAAAAAATAATATTATCTGAGAACTCAAACATGACTCAATTTTATTGCTGCCTCACCTAGGAAAAACACCTTATCTGATAAGGTTTTTTTCTTTCATGTCTGCTGTCCCAGACAGAGATGTTTTGCTCTTTCCCCTATTTGTCTCTGCCTGGTCCTGCTGTGGGCAACTCGAGGAGAAGGCAGGTGACCTTTAGCAGGACTGGGAGGCTTCTGAAAAGAGCAGCTGTGAACCTCGCAGCCAAACCAGATCCATCCTCAGCTCTCAGGATGGCTTGTTTTACAGCAGAGCGACCCCCAACTGATGCCCACCGGGTCGCTTCTCGCTTGTACCAGCTGGGACCCCGAGGTGCTCTCCTGATACTTTTCCAAAGTGGCATTTTGCAGGGTTTGCCTATGGTTTAGTGGCGCAGCAAAGAGCTGGAGCAGCTCAGCCTCTGCCATCTGCACGGGGACGTGCACGAAGGCTGGGGAGAGAGGGAGGAGGAGATCCCAGCTCGGCAAAGCAGAAGGGCTGGATGCGTTAACGTCACAGTGAATTTGACCAAACGGGCAGGTCAGGCTTCCAGTTGCCCGCAGGATACAACAGGCACCAGAAGGTTGAAACACCGACCCAAGGTCATGTGGAGATAGTGGAAAACATAGAAATAATCTGAGGGCTCCAGACTCCTCAAGAGGTACAGAGAGCAAAAGAGAAGACAGAAGGAGCGACTCAAAACAGGCAAGAAAGGAGAAATGGTAGTAGTGACACTGTTTCTGTAAAAAAATAAAATCTAAATGTCTTGGCTTACACACCTCTCTGCTGCCAAGTTACTTAGTAACATGCAAAAACCAACCTTTGACCAGTTTTTACTGCCTCATTTCTCAAGCCTTAATCACATGAAAACTTCTGAATGTCACCTGTGTGTTGTGTAACTCGGGGGGATGGGGAAGAAAAAAAAAAACAAGGGAAAGACCAAATACATGGAGAAGCACTAGGAGGGTTCCAGGCTCAGCCCAACTATTTTTTTCAGTCTGACAGTGCAAATACTCAGAGCCAGTGCCCTACGTTTCAAGGAGGGAAACCCAAAAAAAAATATTCATGCTAGTAGGAAATGAGAGTTTTCAGACCAAAAGTAAAAGCGAAACAGAAAAATCACAGAAATGAAATTTTCAGAACCGAAGTCCACAACAGATTCTGTACCCTGTAATAAAAATGTAAAGTTTTCCTGTGTCTTTTTTTCTTTCAAAGACCTCAACTCTGACACGTTTTTAGGAACTGAATTTGTTGCAGTTTTAAACACTAGAACCAAAAATGTCTCACCCAGAGCCAGAACTGAAAGTCGACTCCTGAGGAACAGTTAGGGTGTTCCTCCAATCTGATCACTGCATTTTTGTAGACGTGCTCACATTTCCTCATTTGCAAAGCAGATGGGTTCATTAAAACCCTTCCTGCAGCCAGCCCACCTTCCAGCAGGGAATGGAAAGTTACGCTGTGGGTGGCCAGATCTGATAGACACGAGGACGCAGATTTCCTGACTGTCATGGGAAATAAACAACAGTTTCATACACGAGAGGTTTTAGGCTGCTGCAGCTGTTTTCAGAAGGCAGCACCAGCCGTTAGGGAATAGGACCTTCTTCCAGATAGGACAGAAAAATAGGATCGTCCACACGGAACGTCCGTGACTGCGATGTTGCGGAATTAAACGCTGCGGAAGTGGAGGAACACGTGACAGTTTGGACAGTCGGGTGTCACGAACTGTAGATCATAGAATCATGGAATGGTTAGGGTTGGAAGGGACCTCAAAGATCAGCTCGCTCCAACCCCCCTGCCATGGGCAGGGACACCCTCCACTACACCAGGTTGCCCAAAGCCTCATCCAACCTGGCCTTGAACACTGCCAGGGATGGGGCAGCCACAGCTTCTCTGGGCAACCTGTTCCAGTGCCTCATCACCCTCAGAGTGAAAAATTTCTTTCTTATATCTAACCTAAATCTCCCCTCTTTCAGTTTAAATCCATTGCCCTTTGTCCTATCACTACACACCCTTGTAAAAAGCCCCTCTCCAGCTTTCCTGTAGGCCCCCTTTAGGTACTGGAAAGCTGCTATAAGATCACCCTGGAGCCTTCTCTTCTCCGAGAGAAGATATGTATGTAGGTACACACAGAGGGAAACACATCACTACAGATCCAGGGTTTTCGGCCGTGCCACGGCATCGCAAGCCAGGGTTTCCCCCCAGCAGGCAGCTGTGGTTACGTTCCCTTTTCAGCCTGACCCTGGCACACTTTACACGTAGAATTTCAATTTAATTTAATGATTATTTACATTTAATAGTACGGCGTGCTAATAGATCAAGTCAACGTCCGAAGGGACATGTAGGAAAACATGAAAAGGTTACAAAGCCAGCAGAGTTTTGGGGGTGGAAATCCCAGGAGCAGAAACCCTCGGGGACAAGCGCAGAGGGCCAGGAAACACTGCCAAGCACAGACCTCGGCGATGTTGTCTAAGTGCAGGGGAGGAGGAGGGGGGAAGAGATCCTTCATCATCATGACATCATTGCACGCTAAAAGGACAAACTTAGTATTTGTCCAGGCCAGACCTGAGGTTCTGCTGTCGAGCACAAGCTTTAGGCTGGTTTTAGCCATCAGGCTGTTCCCTACTCAGATCCTACTCTGACTTTTCACAGCAGGCAGCAGAGCTGCCTCCCCGCTTTCATACGCAGCAGATGGCCAAAAGTCCTGCTGGTTTCCCCTGAGTATTTCCCACCGAGGACACCACTTTGCCAGGTGCTGCAAACCTCACCCCCGGTGACGCTCAGACCCCTCCAACATCCCTGGCAGCAGGACCACCGCTCGTCACCACGGACGGGGCTGAGCTCAGTCCTCCTGCTGCGGCGACAGCTCGGACGTGGCACGGGGGGGAACCTCCCCACCTCCCCTTCGAAGGGTGACAGCACAATCCTGCCAGGGAGGGACGGCGAGGAAGGCTGTCTCATGCAGGTGGTGGCTTCTGAGCCACCAGTCAACTTCACCAAGGCAAAAACGCCGATGCTTTGGCCCTGTGATATCTTCACACAAGAATCTGGTTGGGTTGCACTCTCTGAGTCCCTAACCTATCTTGTTATACTGTCACCTTATCTCCTCGCTAACCCCAGGAACACTGCCAGCGTGGAATAACGGGCTGGTTTACCATAAACCAGGGTCTGAAGTGGTACGTGCCCAAACACAATGTACTCAACACCTCTGCCAACCAGGTCGCTTATTTGGAAACCTAAATGTGGATTAACGACACGGACACCGAGCCCCTCAAAAACCTATTTGTTCCTACAAACCATCAGCAGTTTCCTGTTTGCCAGACAGAAGGAACGAACACGACAGCCATTAGCTTTGACAACAGCTGGCACGCTTGCGGGAAGGTTTTACGTGCATCCAGAGCAGCACGACTGGATCTGAGCCAGTTACTGGGATTATTGCTGCCCAACCCAGTGACAAAGTACCAGAAACTCACGTTTCACGTTTTCTTTTGATAAACCTGGTCTGACCTCCCAGCTGGCCCTGCTGCAGAACTGGAGCAGGAGGCTGGACTATGGACCCCCCTGTGGTCCCCTCCGCCCTGAATTCTCCGCCAGTCCCCTGAGAACATTCCTCAGGGGAACAGCCCAGCTCCCTCGACACGAGCTGGCACCCTGCTCCGTAAATAGTCCTGCTACAGTCAGCGGGGTTCTTCCTGGAGCAGACAGTGCCTCTCCAAGTCAGATCCTCATCTGGCTTCAGCTGACACAGCTACAGCTCACCCTGCAGAACCAGGCGGATTTACACCAGGAAAGAATCTGGCTCAGAAGGGGAAAAGGTGGCAAAGTCAGGCTTTGGCCGTGAACATGCTGTTTCAGGGGGAGGTAACGATTCATGGGAGAAGATGTTGTTCCACATGGAAAGCAACCAGAGTTTCAATGGTGTTATTAGTGAGCTCAGTCCGAGAGAACGAAGCTGCTTTCAAGAACTGTGGCAGAGTCGGTGCCCGCTAGGAATGCGCCTTTATCATCCACCCAACCCGTGAAATGAATTTCTGGAAGGCCATCTGTGTACACACTGCCACAAGCAACAGCAGAGGTCTACCAGTGGATGCTCCACAGTGTGTTCTGTACTCCTGGTGGCAGTCATGTCCCTCAAATCAAAAAGTCATCACTTCTCAGAGGCTCATTTCCCAGGTCTCAAGCAGAAGGTAACTCCTCGTGCAACACCTTCGATTGTCCACGTAAAAACACAGCAGAGGACAGTTTCATGCTTTTACCGAGATAAATGATGTGAAGAAGAGACGTTACCTGATTGGGCTGAATTTTCGGCACATGTGCTTTCCACATTTGAGCTTCCCTAGAGATCGCCGTCTCCAGAAGGAGAGACAACCTCTGGTTCTCCAGGGGTCCTGAAAACTTCATGGTAACCCTTGGATCCACCTGCCACCCAGCTGGATACAGCTACCTGCAAAACCAAACACAGCCTGGTGAAATACTGCGAGAAAGAAAGCACGAAGGTGACTAAAGCAGCAAGAAATGGAACATGCTCATCTGTAACCGACCTGCCCACGGAAACCCAAACCAGTCGGCTCAGATTCAGCTGAAACTGGGCCAAAATCGTCCACAGGTCTCCAACACCTAAGTGGGCTGGAAAGTTCTACCACTCTGAGGTTTTCTGTGACGTAGGCAAGAAGACCAGACCTCTCCCACTTGAGCAGCACTAAAAAGTAGGGGTGTTTCACAAAAACCGCTCAACGGGAGCGAGGAGCTGTATGGCAAATGATTTCATAAGTTGGTTGCCCTGGCCCGAATCTCGCTGAAGTCTACCTGTGACTTCAAGGGAAGTCAAAACTGACATTAAAACACTCTTCCAAAGTCCCAGCCTCGGAGGCTGGCTGGTGCCAGCCGTACCCCAGCGCTCTCGGCAGCAACGGGAAGATCTGGGCGAAACAGAGGAACGCTGGTTGGAGAACTCCAATGATTTACGAGCCAAAACCCCACAAAAAGACCCATGTTTTCCCTCTCCGCCCAGTACGGTTTGCAGCTTCTCACAGAAGCTAAGACCGGTTTCAAGTACAAGGCAAACGTAGCAGGGAGTTCAGGAAGGTTCCTCTCGGCTCTGATCACTCTGGAAACACATTAGATCCACAAAACTTTAGGGCACGTCTCTAATTTTAGGTAGGAAAAGCGTTTTAAGGCAGGAAAAAAGCAGCAAACCCAGTGATGGCCTCTGCAAAGCATGAAATGACCACAAACCACGTCAGTGATGGAGACAATTTCTGCAAGGCCTACAGTATTCACAAACACCTGCTTCCACCAGCAGAAGCAATGATTAAAAGCATGAAATTTAAAAAAAAAACACTTTGCTAGACACAGAACAGAAAGCAAGGGATTCTCCTGGCCCTAGTGCAGCCTCACTTTTTTTAGGAACAACGACAAAACTTGTAAATTTGAAACACGAAACAAACCCAAGGGAAGATTTTTATTTTTTTTTCTTTTTAAACACAGCAGATTCCACCACCTGCTTTCAGACGGAGAAGATGGTCTGATTGAAAAGGTCACTCCAATCGTTTTAATACTTCTACCCTTACTCTGGCCACAAATCTCTTGGCAGTATTAAATCCCTCAGGGAAAAACAATTCAGCCCTGAAGGGTAAATCCATGGGAAAGTTATTTAAACTTTCAGTTCCTTCTGTGAGCTCTTGTGAAACCCACAACAGGTGGATATTGGCCAAAGGGAACGGGGCTGTTTGATAAAGACCAGTTTGTTAATACAACAGCTTATGCTGTATTTACAGGGAAAAAAGCAACACCTGGAATCGGAGAAAATAAACAAAATTCACAGCGCGAACAGTTTATTGTAAATAATAACAACAGCAGCTCTGAGCACAAGAAGATTCAGAGTGCTTTCACCAAGTTCAGGGAAACCGTAGAAGAAATATTTTTCCCCATCAACAGGAGTTTTTTAATGGGCAGGATTCACACGGAACGTGCACGAGGCATAAAACCACACTCCAGTCCCACTCGTAGCCAAATGGCAAATACACGGCGAGCCTCTCGGTCCTGCACAGCAACCTCTTTTATAGGAGATTTTTATCAAACAAATGCTTCTCCATGAACAAAGGAGAGGCTGTACTGGCTTGGCACCCCCCTGCCCACGGTTGCCAGCCCGTGGCCGTAATGACCCAAGGTGACTGGGGACACATCCAGATTTTCCAGCTGGGGGGAACACCTCGGAGGCAGGATTCCTGAGCAGGCTCAAAACTGCTGTGTTTCTCCAAATCTCTTCCCATCACCCCAAAATGGCTCACTGAGTATCGCTGTGGATGGAAAAATCCCTAATCCTAATCCCTAATAAAGGCTCCTGACTCAATAGGAGGGTGAAACTAAGTTCCTCTCAAGAGAACGATGCCTTGAACCGCAGCTTATTTACGTGCATTTACTCATTTTTGTGCATTTACTCATTTTTGTGCATTTACTCATTTAATGTGCATTTACTCATTTCTGCCTGTCTTTTTGAAACCTCGGGGTGATCCTAAGGACATTGGTACCCCTGTCAACGGGGCCGCTGGGGAAGCCGAAGGGGAAACAAGAGATCCACATTCACCACCTCCCCGCCCATAGCTCATTTCCCCGGTGGCCTCATTAGCATCTCATTATCCTCTCATCAGACACTACAGATTTCCCTGTGGGATGGGCTGGTTCCCAAAGGCCGGTTCCCCCACCATCTCCCGAGCCGTCAGCGCTTCCAAAGGAGGGGTAAAGCCCTGGGAAAGGAGGAACATTCAACGGGGGCTGCACCGCCGCTCCGATGGAAAAAAGCAGGTGCAGGTGAAATATTTTGTCCCCTCAGGCATGGTGGGGGGGAGGATCCAGCAGACAGGGGCTGAGCTGGGGGACCCCACATTGGAGAACGTCGCCTTCCCACCTTGCAACTCAAAAGCCCCAAAAAAGAGGTTTCTGCAGGCCTTTGCAGAGCAAAAGATGGGTGATTTTATTTTTTAAAAAAAATTATTTATTATTTAATTTAGCCTGTAGACAGTCAGTTGCTACGTACCAGGTGATGCTTACCAGGTTAACAGCCCAGAGGATACCAGCTATGGTCTCTCAGAGAGCTCTGGGACATCCCTGGAGCATCCTTCAACACCAGTGGCCCTGCGAGGGACGTTTTTAGCCACTCGACTCGCTGCCAAGGGGAAAAAGAGAGGGAAAAATAACCTTTCCCTTCTAACCTAGGGAGGTAATTCAATGAGGGCTGAGGCACAATAACCTTTATAAGGAAAAAAAAAAAGAAGAGGAACGCCGAGCTTGAAAGTTTCCCTGGGAGCAACAGTGGTGCGCAGACTTTTCCAGCACGGAGAGCGTGCCAGGCAACTGGCCAAGCACCCGGAGGGCTGAACCGAGTTTGCATCTAGATTTACATAGCTCTTCATCAGATAAAGCCAAGCCATTTGGAAAAAAAAAAAACAAAACTCTGCCAGCGTGCTCTACACGTACGCAGCGCTTCACAGAACACAGGGGAGCCGCTGCGGAGCGAGCGTTGGGAGAGGACGAGGAACGGGGCGGCCGGCGCAGCTTCCCGAAATCCAGCGTGTGGAAGTTGGGTGAAGACTGCAGGAGGATCAAACTCTCTTCTTCTGCTCAGGTCAGGAAGGTAAAAGCCTGAACATCGCAGAAAAGCTCCTATCAAGGCTCCCATCAGCAAAGATACTTGTCAGTGCCCCGACAGCAAAGATTTGCTCCAGCCAAAAACTTGCACGTGTTTTTCTGCGACTGAGAGTTGTAGAACACTGGAACGGGTTGCCCAGAGAGGTGGTGGCTGCTCCATCCCTGGAGACGTTCAAGGCCAGGTTGGACGAGGCCCTGAGCAACCTGATCTAGTTGGAGATATCCCTGTTCCTTGCAGGGGGGGTGGACTAGATGACCTTTGAAGGTCCCTTCCAGCCCTGACCATTCTATGATTCTATGATTCTATGAGCCCAAGAGATCCATGGCTGGAGAACTGCCAAAGCTGTGACAGTCACCATCAACTCACCCGAGCTTTCTGCTTCTGTTTCACTGATTTAAACTTTAGCTCCAGGGTGGTGGGTTTGGTTTTTTTTTCCCCTGTGGGCACTTTGGGAGTTTTTAAACCGCTGTTCAAGCAGTTCTTCAAGTTTCTTAATCTTCACTGGAAAGTCAACACTGAAACTTCTCAAAGAACAGCTGGAAAGTTAGTAAAGGAGAAGTGAGCCAAGTCAACCCATCGGCTTTGTTTGGACCTCTCCTGTGAGCAAGGTCACAAGCTGCAGGTTGAATCTCGCTCTGGAATTAGCCAAAATTTTGGTGTGAGGTTTTCCCTTGTGAGAAGCGTTAAAAATGACTTGCTTCTGCATTAAAAAACACCCCGACCTGGTCCATAAAACGTAACCCATCTCAGACAGACCTCTCTTTTCAATCCAAGTATTAGGAAAAAATTTTTTACCATGAGAG